TCTCTCTCTCTCTCTCTCTCTCTCTCTCTCTCTCTCTCTCTCTCTCTCTCTCTCTCTCTCTCTCTCTCTCTCTCTCTCTCTCTCTCTCACGTGTCCGTCATGTATGGTAGATTGAGTTCACATCGCCTTGATGGGTGTGTTTTGATGTACTCTGCCCTCATGGTCTATTGCGTGCGTTGTGCTTGCATTCCATCGGCTGATGCATGCTGTTGAGTCTTTCGCAGTGTATTCTTGGCACATCCCCGCTCCTATGATTCAAACTTGGCATTCTCAGCAATTGGGCATGCATCACATTAGGTAGAGATCCTTGCACAGCATGTGTGGTCTTTGTGAAAGCCCTTTCAACACCTACCTTACCCAGGAATTCATCAGGTAAGAGATTTTCAAAATCTGCTGTGCTAGAATCCGTCCGATTTTGTCATGCGGAGTCGATTCCTCGTGAAACCCCTCCACCACATACTCATTCTTGTTGAAAGCAATCTGGGGAACACTCATGAAATCATATCAACAATTAGTAATTAGTAATTACCATGCGAGATGTCTGTAAGACCAGCAGCTGTGAACCCTGCCTGACCTGGATATCTTGTTCCCAGATTGACGTCCTTGATTGCACACAAGTCAATTCTTGAACGCGCAACCGCCAGTACATCGCGCAGGCAAACTTGAGAGTCGAAATCAATCCAATCCACAAATTTTGGGGGCTCAGGACCACCGAATGAAAATGGCTAGCGGCGCCAGACCAAAAAGGAAAGAAGTGAGTGCCAGCACTCCGTGGACTTACTGGTTCTTTAAGCCCTCCCTACATCGCCACCTATCCCCAAACTAAGTTTTTACAAACAAGACCAGATTCCGGCCGTCCTTGCCATGCACATTGCAGCCATGACATTGCCGAAAGAAGAACAGATGTTTTCTGAGCTGTTTCTGATCTATGCAAATATCCAGACAGGTGGGTTAGGGCTCCTGCAGTCTGCAAAGCCGGGCTGGACAGCCTGGTGTGGTTGGCCGCGTAAAATGACTTGAAAATTTGAAAATGAATTTAAAGAATGCTCACCAAAGCAAAGGGGAATTTAAATATCCGAGCAACAATAACCATGGGATCTCTCGTTCTTATTGTGGTGCGACTTTTAGGTCATTACGTTTGACGGGAAGAATGTCGTGCCAGATGTGCATCAGGTGCTGGAGAAGATCAAGGTTTTCTCTGACAAAGTCCGAAGTGGAGAATGGGTGAGGAACATATTCCTGCGCTTGGATTTGCCATTGTTTGATCTTCCTTCACCTCTCTCTCTTCCTCTCCCCCTGCTCCTCTTCCTCCTCCAGTCCGGCCATTTCTTCTTCTTCTTTCTTTTTCACCTTTGTCTTTGTCTTTGGCTCGTCGTCATCTTCGTCTTCGTCTTCGTCTTCGTCTTCGTCTTCGTCTTCGTCTTCGTCTTTCTCATAATCTGCCATAGAAACGTCCTCCTAGTCCTCCTCTCCCATCTCTGTCCGTCTCCTTCTTGTCCTCCTCCCCCTCCCTGTCCTCCTCATCCTGCTGTTGACTTGTTACAAATGGGAGGAAGGTTGAGGATTTAGAAGTGCCTTGATTTGATCATTTTTGTAGTTGTCGTGATCAGCACTAGGGTCTCCATCGCCATCTCTGTCATCATCATCGTTATCATGATCATCACCTTCATTGTTATTGTGGCGGTAGACTCGTAGTGGTTTTCGAGGTCATCCTCATCCTAATCACCAGGGACCCAATGATCACCATCACGGTATCACCATTTTCGGTGCCAGCATCGATGTCATCATCAATATCATCGTTGGCTTTGTTGATGTCATTGTTGTCCTTCACCGCCTCATCTTGTCCTCCGCCTCTTCCGTGTTCTTCTTGTCATGGTTCTCTGCCTGTGGCTTCTCATTATCGTTGCTGTCATCATCATCAGCAGCATCTTCATCCCATCAATCATGATTGACATTGGCAGTGGTGGAAGTGGCAGTGGCATGACTGTCATTGTTATCATGATAGTTCGCATCATCACCTTATTATGAGATGACAGGTATGTGGCATATAGGTGCTTCTCTGTGCAAAAAAAATACAAGCTTCTGCGTAGGTGTGGCATGCAGGTTCTCCTGTGTGTGGCACATAGGCGGTTGTGTGTGTGGCATGTAGGTTATTGTGTGGGTGTGGCTTATAGGTGTTTGTGTGTGTTTGGCATATAGGTGCTTCTGTGTGTGGCATGTAGGTACATCCTTGTGTGGCGTATATGTGCTTCTGTATGTGTGGCTTAAAGGTGCTTCTTTGTGTGTTGCTTATAGGTGCTCCCTTGTGTGGCATATAGGTGCTTCCTTGTGTGGGGCATAGGTGCTTCAGGTAACTAATGCTTCTTCGAAACTGACACACCGTTCTCTCTGGTACCGTTGGGTTGGTGCAGGTTGGAGCAACAGGCAAGCCGCTGACGGATGTGGTTTGCATTGGGATAGGAGGTAGCTTCCTGGGCCCGCTATTTGTGCACACTGCGCTCCAGACGGGTAGGTAGGCCACAATGGATCCATAATGTTGATCTTGTAGTGCTTGCTCATGTTCTCCACCTGCTCATCATCGCCAATTCCATCCTCCTCCACCGCCTCTTCTTGGCTTGTCTCCTCAGCACCTCTCTCTCTGTCATCCAACTCCACCTGCTTCATCTCGTTCAGCTCCCCCTCCTCCCCTCCTCATTTTCTCCTCCACGGCAGCTGTTACTTCTAACCATCTCCATATTATATTGTTTCTATCAGCGACCACTCCTCTTTGTGCTCCCCTTCTTCTTGCACTGCAAACTGTAGTCCCCTTTCCTTTTTTTTTTTTTAATTATTATTTAAACGCGCAGGTTGTTCTAGAGGCACGGTATCAGGCGTGTTAATACTCTCCGGGGTTCAGTCACTTGAAGTTCGGAATGACCCACTTGGCCCTCTGGAGCTTCCTAGGTGGAGTCCTCTGGGGGCTTAGAGCCCTAAGTCCTATCGCAAGTTGTCCCTTTCACACTGTACAGCTTGCCACCAGAGATCAGATTCTGTACCTATAGATCCAACCTCCAACTGGATGTATTGCGGGACCACTCTAAGCAGCTTTGTCCCCCAACCGTTGACTTAGCAAATCCCTAGCCAATCCCCCCTCGGACAGGCGTAGAGGGCCTACCTCCCTCCTATTAATGTACAGTACACTCCCCCCTTGATCCTATCTATCCTACCCACTTCTCAGGAGACAGGCTCAGTACAAGTCCTACCCGAGCTACACTTTATCGGCATCCTCTCTACTAGTCCCTCCAGCCCCTATACCCATCTCATAGCCTACCCTTGCTTGGTCCCTGGTGGGCCCAAGGACCCTGATGACGGGGCTACGAGAGTACCCCAATGTCTATACACTGCCTAGAGACGACCAGCCAACCAGGCGGTCCTAATCCATGAGACAAGCATCGACTCGCACCTGCTGGTCATCAGGCAGACTCTAACTACTTGGACTACCCCAGGTAGTATTTCTACCTACGATGCGATTTCCCACCCACCCATGCGGTCTCCGCAGGTGGCCCCTGAGGCCACTTTGTATGTGAGTCAACTACTCCCTTCGAACGGTGAACTACTCATTAAGCAACCCGAACCATTCTGCCCTACCTACCACAAGGTTCCTGTACCCCTCTCCCAACACACACCCCAGAGATGAGACAGCCTTTTTTTTACCCCCGTGGTTCGAGACACACACGAGGGGGAACACACCTAGACATACCACCCACTGTGCCACTCCCCTCGACTATGAAGGTCCCCCTCTAACTGGGAAACCCCATGGTACCCAGACGTCTAGACAGAGACCCAGTGGGACTGGACCTAGGGTTCTCTGGGCCCGCGTACTACTGCATTAAATCACAGTATCCCAGTGGGACTGGACATCAACTGTGTTGGCGGTTTTGGGCCTTGAGGGACTTGATCCCGTGACCTGTAATTTGTACGTTTGGTTTGTTCGCTTCGAGCCCTACTGGGCTTGATCCTTAGATCTGTAGCTAGTGGTCTCTATTTGGCAGTCTTAGACCCTTAGGCTTTGCTGTTTTTTCCTTTTCTGCAGTTGCTGAAGTGGATAGGCCCGTAGGCCTTTCTTTTGTGGTAATATATTTCGTCCCTCTGTAGTCTACGTTTCTGTCTAGGTGCATGTATGTGGATAGACCGTAGATCTTGACTGTTTGGGCGGCCAGATAAGAGCTACTCCTCTGTCTGTCTTAGGGCTAGGAAAAGTCGGGTTGAAGTAGGCTGGGCCCGACGAGTTGCAGGTCCTTTTCGTTGCTTTTTCTTTTCACGGTCTGGGTGGAGGTCGCGTTGCTTCCCTGCTGCGCTATTGTGGGCATGTACGCAGGGCATCTTCTCCACATGCCGCTGGCACCCATAGCTGGGGCCGTCCAGCTCCATTGGCGGCAGCTCTGGGCTCGGCGCCCAAGTGCTGATGAGCGCTTCCTCATATTCGTGTGCTTGCTGGGGTTTGGTCAGCTGCCACCGAAGCTGCACTTTCAGCGGTTCTTCTGCGACATGGCAGATCTTCATCTTCATCGAGGTGCTGTTCGTCTTCATCATCCTGGGAGCTGCGCTCCTCTGCTGAGTGGACACTTCATCTGCAGTGGGCTTCTTGAGTGGTGCAGAGACGGGTGTTGGATTTAGGAGGGTGTGTGTGTGGCGATTGGTATGCTTGAGAGGTTGGGTGCGTGCAAGCACCATAGCTCGAGCTTGAGGAAGATGGAGGAAGAAGAAGACTCCCAGATACTTCGATGAAACCTTGTAGATAATTGGTCCGCGGGTGTTGATAACGTGGTTGGGATCCTTGGAAATTCATTCTGTTGATTGACTTGGGTGGAGACGGTAATTAGATTTTTTTTATTTTTTATTTTTTTTTATTTTTTTTTAATTTTAAACAGGCCCTTACGGTCCTGGCTCCATTTCCATTCTGGGGAGCATCAGTCCGGTTCCTATTCCACCGGCAAGTCAGAATAAAAGATTACATCATAATCAGTATTAATCACCCATGCTTCCTTCCGTTCGGCCGAAGGACCCCTGACCAGCATTGCTTGCTCCAAAAAAATTGGAGGATTAACTGTCAGCTTGCCATTCTTCATCCTTTCCTCTCAGGTGTTCCTGCAAAACCTGCCATATATGGCATGACTGAACAAGAAAAATGTAAAAACTGCCATTACTACCAATTTCCTTAAACCCTAAACCCTAGACCCTCGAGAAACTACCACAGGTGCCCATTTTGCCTATGCCATACGATTCCTCATGGGATCTTCCAAACAAATCTGCTGTTCCAAACCATGTTTGTCCTAAATCTGTCCAAACCCTTAACCCTAGACCCTCAATTATAGGTTTTATTTTGCATAAACATAACATCATCTAGCTTCAACTTTCTCACCCACCCTCCTATCCCTATGGTAATTGCATTTCCTGTGTCTCCCCCTGGACCCCAAAGACGCCTCACCTCTCTTCTCCTTGAACCAATGAAAGGTCAGTCTCTGTCCCTCTATGGTCGCTACTTTACCCCTGGCAAATACCTTGTTCTGGAATTTCGTGTAAATAGCCTTCGCGTTTTCCGGGTTAACCGATGCTCGTATTCTCGTTCTCTGCCATTGAGCCGTAATATCTGTTTCCAATAGATTATATAGTGTTGTTCTGGCTTCCATTCTAGTCATCGAATTTTTGCCAATCATTAGTTGACATCTCCTTTTCCAGATAGTCCATAATGTATACTGTCTCAATAGCTGAAAAATGAAATTTTCACTTTCCTTCCATTTATTAGGTACTACCCTTCCTATGAGCAACAGTCTTGGGTTCCTTGGAAAGAGATCCTCCGTAATACGTTCCCAAAGTGTACCTGCCATTTCCCATATGTATTCTGCTTCCGGGCATCGAAGCAAGCAATGCATCAGCGTTTCAGGCGCTTTCTGAGAGCACATGGTGCAGTCTTGGTCTGTTTCTTTCCTATGCTGTCTACTCCCGTTTTCATATAACCAGACGTTGACTGGGAGTGCCACATGGAATATAAGCCACTGCATACTCCGGACCTTGCCCAATCTGATAGCATGAAGGCTTGACCATGGTATTTTGCCCATCTGTAGTCTTGGTATGCCCACCCTTTTTCCCCATCTTCTCGCCGAAGGCCTATCCATTTGGTACGACCTTCTCCTGAGCCTGTACCCCAATTTAGTCGTGTACTGTAGTATGTTAATTTTCTTGACTAATCGTGACGCACTTCCCCTGATGTTCCATGCCCATTCTACTGGATCCACCTCCAGATTCTGAATGTTGATCGTTGGGGCATATATTGTGAATTCGTCATTCTCTATAACCCTAACCTTCCTCAGGAGATCCTTCTTGATGGTGATCGGCACTTTGGAGTCCTTATCCAAACGACTCATTGTGGTGCCTGGGGTCAGTATTGTATACATATCCGCTTCCAACCACTGTTTAGCTGGTCCTACTTCTTGACCGATGCGAAAGGCTTGCTGAGGTTCGACACTATGACACCAAGTTGCCCAATCACCCCTTCCCCATTTGTATGGACCCCTTAATATCCTCGTCCACTCCTCCGGAATGGAGATTAACATGTCGTTCAGGTTTTCAATTAGTCTATGACACCCCTTCATTTCCTCCCTCAATTCTCTACCCGTTTTCCATCTTCCATTAGTATCTGACCAATGATGTTTCACTTGCCATACTCCATGCTCCAACCAATTTCCCCACTTAGCATCTCTTACTGTTAGTGTTCTTGGTTTTCCTTGGGAATCCTTCAACCATGGATTACAAAATAGCGGTTGCCTAAGTACTTCCTCCTTCGTTCTTGGTTGTCTTACTCTTGCAGGAAATATTTTTGTCCATATCTTAAGAATTTGGGCCCAATACGAAAACCTGATCATCCCATCTTCTCCCCCCTGCATTCCTTCTCTTCCCCTTTTGGCCCATCCTTTACAAAAAATCCAAAACATTCCTTCCATATTAGGTGGAGTTTTATACTTGGCCATCCCCCGTATATGGTCTAATACCAACGGATAACCCATTTAGTTTGGAGTGCTTTGATCTGCTGTCCCGGGTCGAGAATGCCCAATCCCCCCCGGTCTAAACAACCTGTTTCCATGCTACCTTAGAAATATAATTCGTCTTAGTAAGGTTCGCTGTCCAGAGATAAGCTGCCGCCTCCCACCTAAGCTTGTTCAGTGATTGAATGGGAGGTGTCCGTATTGTTCTGACATACCATAACATGGAGAAGATAGAAGCATTTAATACTAATGCTCTCCCAAATAGTGACGTATACGTTTCTTACCATATTGACATCTTAGCTAACATTTTTGTCATCTGCTCTTGTGCCATCGAGTGGTGAGGACCCGTATCTGCTAGCCTAATCCCTAAATATCTCAGTGGTTGATCCGATGACACCCATGCCATTCCTTCATAATCCGGTAGATGAGCTTGAATTTGATGATCTACATCTGATAACCACCACCCCACCGTTTTAGGCCAATTAA